ATTTTTTTTCTTCTTCTTTATTTGTTTATTTTTTTTCTTTTTTCTTTTCTTTTAAAAACGAAACGATAAATTCTTCAAATAACAACTGTAACCAATGGTGGTACTTGCATCGAGTGAAATTATACGATTCGCGTGGTCACGTATCAATTAACGTAACGAATCGCACCCAACCATTTCTTTTTCTTTTTTAATTCGAATTGGAGAACGAGTCAATCGTCGATACGAAAAAAAAAAAAGAAGAGAAAGAGAAGTTTTTTTTACGAGTAGTAACAGGCCTCCTCGAGTTTCGGGGCTCGAGATATCATGTTCCGATGCCAATATCTTTCCTCTCTCTATCGTGTGGAGAAATTAATTAACACACCGGTACAGCCTAATTAACAACATTTATCGACCAACTCACTTGGGAATAATTCGTTTTACGTTCAACGTTAGTATTTCGTTTCTTCGATCGTTTCCATCCAAAATTGCACACGTTGTTCGCACGTTGAAAATCTTATAACGTGATAACGCAAATTGTGAAAAGATGCGAATTACAAAGTGAAGAAAAAAAAATGAAAAAATGAAAAAAGAAACCTATACTCGAAGGTTGACCTTCCTGAAGACCCTGGCGTAAACTGCATCATGCGTCTATTGTCACGTCACGCAAACACGTCAAATAAGGCTTTTCTATCTTAGCTTTCACCTATTTACCGTATATTATCACTTTTAAATTATAGATTTTCGGGGAAGCATTAGTTATCCAATTTTTTCCTTTTTCTTTTCAACGATAATCGTACCCTGAATATAAAACGTTTGAAAATCTTTTATCGGACAAACAACATTAGTTTCTTGTATAAAGGTTCATCGATAGACGGTGAATCTACCGATAGTTATCTATAAAAACAAAAAACATCTAGTAAAAAAAAAATATACAGTTGAAAGCAATATCACCTACGATATTATACCAGTCTACTCTACTTACGATAGTCCTAAACGAGTCTAGATTGTAAATATACCTGGCACGGTATATTAATAAAAGCGACACTCTCGTAAATACATGGTGTACACGTGTGTTAGGACCGTATTTATGTCGGCCATAGATGTTAATTAGCCGCTTAAACGTACACGCGTATCTATGAACGTTAGAACGTAATATGTACAAGCTGTTAATGTGAAAAACGAATAAACGAAATCAGATTTATTTTTCTTTCATTAGTAATTGATACTTATGGTATCATATAAGCCCAGTTACTTTGAGAACGTTTTTTAATTTTCTAAAAAAAAAAACATTCCTTTTTCAAATTAATCAAAACCTTTGACCTTCTGACCTAAGTGTCCGTAAGTAATACAAAAAGACGAATTTCTAGGAACTTGAAAGAGGTTTTTGGATACTTTTGGCTAACGGGCTCGAAGGTTCGAACAAACACGACGAGTGCCAAAGCTTTTACGTTTAGAGATCGGGTTAAACGACATCGTTGACCAACAAGTTGGCAAACAAAATGGACAGCGTCAAAGGGTGCTCGCAACGTGTTGCGTTTACTTTAAACCAACGACGACTACTAACTCCTACCTACTCGTCACGTAACGAACGAATGAACGAATGATGGCGAATGTTTCTTGGTATATAATTAATTGCTCGTCCGTTACGAACTCGTTACTTCGATTCGTGTTACGATATTACGGTGAACGTACTTCACTCTGATAATTAATCATTTTCCTAGCTCTGCTACATTTGCTGATACTTTCTGAGTGAGTCTCTACAATATTTTTCCTTATATATGCATATATATGTATGTATATGTATATACTTGATACATATTTTGTACGGCAAAGAAATTACAACAACGACTAGAAAATAAATAAAAAAAAAAGGTTTATAGGAGAGAACGAGAAGGTTAAAAATTCGATTTAATTACAAGGAAACTCAGGGATCTAGAAGCAAGCTTGCTAGCTATCGAGTTCTAACTCGATTGAGAATAAAAGAGAATTTTTTTTACTATCGTTATTGCACGCGCCAAAGAACGCTAATGGAGATCTCTACGTGTTATTCCAACGGAGTAATTTGCGAATGTGTGTTTACATGTATCCGTGAGTGCGTACGTATGGGTATACGTGCGAATGTAATCAAAATAACAGAAAACAACAAAAAAATAAATTAAAAAGAAAAAAAATAGAAATACATGCAAAACATATTTATAACAACGTTTTTCCGACGGGACATTTTCCACGATGTGTCGCGTATCACGCGCGACTACATATATGTATCATATATGTGTGTGTATATGTGTGAAATCATATAAATACTGGTGCAACGAAATACACATACGTAGGATCGAAAACGAGCGAAGTTTCGCGGATGGTAGACCGCGTTGAATCGGTACGAAAGCCGATTTCGAAGAGCGACGATTACCGGGGAGCTTTTTCCTCCCCCCCCGTTCTCACCCTATCGATCCCCCCGAAACACCGTAACTACACCTTTTTTCCTTTTTATTTATTTTTTTATTCTTGTTTCTGTTTTTGTTTTTTATATTTCACCGTTGCATCGGTGCAATATAGATAGCAAATTTTGTAATATCCGAGAGAATTCGCGGTGCAAGGGCTTGAGTTGAAAACAAATCGTTCGTCCCTTCGGAAACAAAAAAAAWAAAAAACGTTTTATTAGAGGTCCCAACACATCTCCTCCTCCTCCTCCTTCCCACATTTCTCTCTTCCCACCTCAGTTTGTGTTATTCCGAATTAATATCGGGCTTTCAACGATCGCGTGTTGCAACCTCGCATACGATGAAACATAGATATATATATATATATATATATATACTATAGAACAAAATAACTCTTTCTTTTTTTTATACAATAAATAAAACACACACACACATGTTTTTANGTTGCTTTAGAAAGAAAAATATCTTGTATGATAAGAATTCAGATCAGATCTCAAGAGACGTAACCCATATAAATATATATGTATATTTTTGTCTTTTATTTTTTCTTTACTTCATTCATCCTTTTTTTTAATTTAAATTATTCTAATGTTATATTTGACGGGCTTGTTTTATTTTGTTGTTGAAAATATTGTATATTAATAATAAACAATATTAGATGACGATGAAGAACTAGAAGAAGAAGAAGAAGAAATGGAAGAGGTAAGAAAAAATATGTATGTATATGCGTGCAATTAATTTTGATGAATAGTTAACCCCTTAATCACACCTTTTACGTCGATGTAAACGCAGCAAAGCCTCCCTCCCTTCTTCTCTCTCGATAATTCTCTTCTTCTCGGGTTATAGTCGGGCGTCCGAGCGATGAAGAAACGAAGAAACGAACGTATGAACGTATGAACGAATGAACGAATGAACGAACGAACGAATGAACGAACGAACGACCCCAAAAGTACGGCGTCGCGTATTCGCACGCGTGCAGATCGCGGTCGGCGCGCGAAAAGGGGCCGTCCCTTATCGATTCGAAACGATTTTAGAGGGTGGTTTTACCCCTCGACGTTTTTGATTTCGGCACGCAGCCTCCGAACGAAGTAGAAAACGAACGAATGAACGAACGAACGAGTGAAAGAGAGAAAGAGAAAGAGAAAGAGAGAGGCTAACGCTTCGCCGCTTCGAATTAAGGGGTGAAGCCGAAGGAAGAAGGGCTGCTTTCCCTCGAGGCTCGATCGTCGACGTAGAGACGAGGATGGGAAGATGCGAAACTGGAAAGAACAAGAGAGAGAAAAAGAAAGAAGAAACGAAGAGAGAGAGAGAGAAAGAGAGGGTGGAAAAGATCGAGTTCGACTGTTCGTCTGTTTTGTGTTTATTTTGTACATCTCGAAATCCCGTAGAGAAGACACACCCCTCATGTGGAATCCCGTCCTCCCCCTTCGCTATCCTGATCAAATTCAATGAATATGCCTCGAATAAGAGTTTACAAGGATACACGCAGAGAAAACGATCCTATTTTATTTATTTCTTTTCTATTTAAAATCCTCTGACGATGTTTGTCGAATAAGGAAAATTATTCTGTTTTAATGTTACCAAACAAAATATCTCTTTGACGAGTGTTCGACAATTTGAAGCAAAATGAAAACACATACACATAGGAATGTTCGTGTGCAAGCGAAAACCGAGTGAATGAGTTTTACTATTTACCGTTAATAAATAGACGAATGTGAATTATCGAGGCGTACGCGAAACAAAGCCTGGAAAACTGGTTCGAAATCGGTGTAACACACTCTTTGCGAGTGATATCAGTTCTACGATACGGGTGTATCCAGTTTAACCAGGCGCATTCGTTTCGGTATCTAAACTCGGTTATCGGATTAAATAAATCCTTATCGGGCGGCAAAGTAAAAAAAGAAAGAGAGAAACGATAGAAGAGGGTGGGTATCTCTACCGTTTGGTTGGAAGTGGGGGTAAAGAAAGTAGAAAAAAGAAAAAGAATGTACACACAACGAGGTTGTGTTTTGCATTCTCCGACGGTCGAACGTTTAAACGCGTTCACCGCGATAATCATGGTGGTGATAGTGGTGGTGTATGATCCTCGAGTTGCGCGCACACCTCGTTTTTTGTCGACTCCCTCTCTTCCTGCTCCCTCTACTATTTTTCTCTCTTTCTCTAGGCCCCAGAGACCTTTTCTAAACGTTCGCGCTCTCGAATGTCAAACATTTTGGCCTCCCACGCTGGCAAAGGCGACTTTCACGGTGTCATTTAACAACACGGGACTCTCAAACGAGTACCATTACACATAACTACCTGCCTATTTTCATTTAACTCATCTCGCACGCGCACGTATGCACGCACGCACGTTCCATTTCACGGCAATTAGGTACGACTCAGTATCGACGTAACAAAGTACGATTTATCGGATATCAAAGAGAAAAGTCGAATTAACGTTGTTTTCACATGATAGAGAAAAAAAAGCTATAGAAGTATTTGTTAAAGGAGAATTTATATAAAAAAGTAGGGGTGGTTAAATGTTAAAATTCCTGTTAAAAGAAGAGAAATAAAAATGTAATATCGATGGTTGATGCCGACCTTTGCACTCGTTGGCGTCCCTCGCAGTAGCCCTGGCCCAGGGTCGGTCAAAGTGGAATGGCCGACACCTCTCGCAATCTCTACCGGCGGTGTTGTGCTTGCACTCGCAGACGACCTCGCCGTCCTTGCCGGGGATGCACCTTGCCGCGTGGCCGTTGCACTTGCACCTGCCGCCCACGGCGAAGTCCGATACGGCGTAGTGATGCGCGAGGGTACCGGTACCCACGACGCTCAATCCACCAAGATTGCTGGTAATCGTTGTTGTGGTCGTGGTGGTGCCTATGCTGGTCGTGCTTCCGGTCACTGCTACGAAACTCATATCTTGGGGATCAAGTGCGTCGTTTGATTGCATTTCGCGAGATCCCAACACCTGATGGGAATGAATGGAGGAAGGTAATACCGTGACGAAACCATCTACGCCGTGCAAAAGATTGCTTTTTTGATTCTTCAATCTTTCTTCGCGTTCTCTTTCCCGTTTGGCTAGCTCCTCGACCCCGAGTCCAACCTGCTCGTCAACGACACCCAACTGCGAGACTTGATCTTGACTAGGCTGTTGTGGCATGTGAAGTCTATTGAAGACAACTCTAACGTCGGTCGCGGTAACCCAATCCTGGAGAACCGGAGAATTATCAAAATCTGCCGCTGATGGACGACCTTCCAAGGTGCTAAAGGCTATCCGACCAACCGGTCCTAGACCATCGCCACCTGTATATCGATGACTGTCCGTGCATCTGGCCTCCTGCTCGTTCGCCTTAGTGATCGTCGCCCTGTTTGGCCTACCGTAGACCCGCCGGCACTGGGACGAGTAGAATTGAAAGGGCTGCCAGGTCTTCCCGTAGTCCATCGACTTGTAAATGGCGATCGAGTCGGGCTTGGCAGCGCGCGGACAGAATTGTAGGCTAACGTATGTCAGCTCGTATTTCTTACCGAGTGATAGGGTTAGCGTGACGTTGTCCGGCGGCGCTGAAAAACTTTGCGACGTTACGAGGGGCTCGCTGCGCCAACACGTCACGTTGTTAGGGTTGTTAAGGTCGGTCAAATAACTAGCCGGGAATCGTCGTCTAGGCGTACTGTCGTCGCAAATGTGACACTGTCCAATACCAATCGATCCACCTGGTTGCTCGTTGACGTCGCAATATCTTGTAGGACCACCGCTGCCACATGTAGAGGAAGCCTCGACCGCCGCACCGAACGCGGCATTAACGAAATCCGGGATGCACCTTCTCGGCCTGTCCTCATCATAACAAGGATCCGATGGATTTTGTTGACTGGAGAACATCTTAGCGTAAATTTCTCCGCCCGCTGTCGAACTCCTTGTTTGGACCAGTACCAAACCGCATAACGCGGCTAGGATCCACGAGGATCCTATCGAAAGCATCGACATTATTTTTATTTTATTTTATTTGATTTGATGTATTTTATTTTATTATATTTATTTATCTCCCTCTCTCTCTCTCGTTTTTTTTCTTTTTTCGATTTCACGAAGTATCAGGAAGATCCTCTCGATGTCTCTTAACGCAGAGCCCTTTCACGCTCCCTCCTCGTTCTTACCCCGAACTCTGACCCTTTTTGCGAAAGGGAGGGAAACGAGAGGGAAGGAAATGACGTCGAACCCTTTTCTATCTGCTCTCTCTCTCTCTCTCTCTCTCTCTCTCTCTCTCTCTCGCAAACACCTTTTCTTTTACATCCTTCTCGTCGTAGTAGTCGTCGTGGTCGTTGTCGTAGTCATTTTATTCGTAATCGTAGTCGACGTCGTCATATCGACACGTTTTCGATGCAGGGATAGAGAAATTTCTTGTTTTCCTTTTTTACTCTTCCTTTTTATTTATTATAACCCCGTCGCGCGTAATCGAAAGACAGTATCAGGTTTGTACATGGAAAAGGATGATCCTCCCTCCTCTCAGATAAATAACAAAAGGAAATCGTATTTTCTTAATACAACTTTTGATCTTTTGATATTAAAGGAATACAAATTGAAACAAAGTTATTTTTTATATATTGTTTTAATTTTTTTAAGTGTACTCTGTACAGGAGTACAATAGTCGCAGTAACTTCATTACTGTATTATACTGATTATCCTGCAAACGATCATATAAATACTTCCTCGTATATATAATCGATGTACGAAATTAAAACCAACGAACGAACGTACGAACAAACGAACGGACGAATAAGCGAGCGAGCGAGCGTTCGAGGAAAATGATTAAAACGCGCGTACACAAGTTATGACAACGAGACAAGATGACTATATAATAATGATGCGGTAACTCCTGACGCGGATTTAAAAAAAAAAAAGTGATATGACAAGGAGATGATCGAAAAAAATTCAACCCTAACTTCGTGGCGGCTCGCCGCTAACTGAGCCGCCTTACTAGCGCGATGCACGTCCGAACTGTTCGGAGTCCCTCTCTCGTACTAAACCCTCCCCACCACCCCGCTTTTCCCCACTATCTATTTCTCTCTCTTTCTGTCACATTTGCTCGTTCTCTCTCTCTCTCTCTTACTCGTTCATTCGTTCGTTCATTCGTTCTCTTTCTCTCTCTCCCTCTCTGCTACACACACCACGTCGTTCGAACTCCGCGTTCTTCGGTGCTTCTCGTCGACCACCCTACTCGTCCAATCCAACTACGTGTTCTCTCCCCACCACCAGAAAACGCGTTCGTGGATCCTCCGGGATCCAGAAGGATGCTGCTGCGTGGTAGCGCACGCAGCAGAGAAACCTGCGGAAACGGACGTACCGTACGGACGGATGGATCGGATCGCCGCCTGCGGGGTGGATACGAAGAGAACAGAACGGTAAGAGGGTAGAACCGGTGGAAAGGGAGGTTAAGAGGAGGAAGAGGAGGAGAACGGGGTTGATTTCACCATATGTACATATATATACATATACATAGTCTCGCGTGTATACCCTGTGTTATACGTGATTGGTAGGATTACCTATTTCATTTGTTATTTTTATAAACCTTTTGTATCTGTATATTTATTGGCTTTACGAAAAATGTGCGGTTTTTGTTTTTCACCTGTAATATGATTTTTTTTTTCTTATCGATCTAATAATCCTTAGAACAATATAGATGTGTTTTATATGTTACATGTTCTGACCAGAAAAAAGGGGTATTTATATATAAAAAAAAATAAACTAAATATGATTGTAAGAGATGGTTTGTATAAGATTGAGAGAAAACGTTAGGTAACGAGGTAGGCGTAAGAGAGTCACGCGATCTACCTTCGACGCGATGGACCAGATTCTCTTGGGTCTTGACAGCTTGAAATTTAACGTCTTCAAATTATAAGTTGCTGCTGCACTACGGTCGAAAAATCGAGCCGAATATAAAATGAAAAAAAAGAAGATGGGGAGGGGGAAATAAAAAAAAGAAATTCTTACGGATTTATTTGGCCGAGCGATTATTTCGAACCGTCCTTTTTGGGTTCTTCCTACCATGGACCACAGAAATCGCAAAGACTCATCCTGAGGATAAGAAATCAACGAGAGTGAGAGAGAAAGAGAAAGGAACGGATTTCTGTATACGTGTACATATATCCGGAACCTTTCAACGTACGGCATTCGTTAATCGAATTAATATAATCTTGGTGAACGACGAACCGGACACGCGTGCCCGTGATGACGGTCCCTGACTTTGGGGCTTTTCGGCTTAGCCACGACTTCCTTCTTCTTCTTCTTCTTTTAACCTTTTTTTCTTTCGTTATTTTTGCCGCTTTGTAACTTTCAAAGTTAAAGCGTGTCGTTGCCATATCCATTTCTTTTTTCAATCCCCCATGAATTTTTGTTCTTTCTCTCTCTCTCTCTTTCATCGGAAGTATTTACTTTGAACGAACTTCCTTCCGTAGAATCAACAATAATGAGAGAAAAGGATAACAATTATAAATCGGTTATGAATAAATTTATCAAGGATTATTATATTTCTTGAATTATCATCTTCAATAGGAATAGGATTATAACCTAAACCGATTTTGATTACTAACCAAGAAGTATGGTAGAATAATAATCGTGACTCTTCGGGTTTTGGGATCGATGATTCTTTTTAAAAGGAGGATTAACGCTCGCCTTAAGCCATTAAAATTGATCCTGTCTGATTGTGAAATGAAAGTAAAAAAAAAAAAAGAAAAAGGTGAAGACAAGAATTCCGATCCGATCATGCSCGTGTTTCTTTAAAATAAAAATAAAATAAAATACGAATGAAAAAGAGAAAAGATTCTGATCAAATAATTTATTAAACGTTCGCCATTTCATGGTATTTTACAATGTTACAAGAGACAACGACGAGAGTTAGTATCATTTCTCCCATGTCGTTTCGCGAATCATTTTTTTACGCTAGCTTGTTTTGCTTGCTTGGTCGCGAAAGTTATTTCATTTTTTTTTTTTTTATGTCGAGTTATTATTTTTTTTCTGTTTTTTTTTTCCTTTTTTTTAATCCGTGAAAAACACATTGCGGTTTTACTAAAAAGAATCGCAACGAGACGAAAGCGGGGCGACTTTTTTTTTTTGGTTAAATTTTTATCCTTTCTTCTATTATCGTTTTTGTCTCTTTTTTTTTTTTCTTTATCTTTCCTGTTTTCGTTCTTCCTATATAACTTTTCGTCTATTTTTTTTTTTGCGAGAGAGATCAAATCAATCGATCTCGAATCCTAGAAAAATCATCACGATACGAATTTCGCTCGTTGTGTGATATACATATATATTATCATTATTATAATTATTATTAAATAATAATAATATTATTATAATATAATATATTTATTTATTTATTTATTATTATTATTATTATTGTTATTATTATTATTATACGTACATATGTATATATACTCGCATGGGTGTTATATACATATATAAATATAATTTATTTAAAATGACACGCTCTCGTGTCCGTTGCGATTCACACTTTTTTTCCTTTCTCTCACATTTTATTTTTCTCATTCTCTATTATTATTATAATCATCGTTATCATCGTCATCGTCATCATCATCTTCCTTTTCTCCAACTTCTTGTTTATTTCTTTATATTTATTTTCCATTTTTTTTGTTCTTTTTTTGTTTTTTTTTTATTTTGTTTCTTTGTTTCTCTACGAAGCTTACAATTACGCCTAAAAAGTTAATAATAATATATTATTATTTGTACGAAATACCGTTGAAAGTAACATGTGACACCTCCCCCTCGAGGAAGCTCTCTCTCTCAGTGGCTGTGAAACTGTGACTTGGAGGAGAACAAATTTGATCGGAGGACTCTGATCGCGACGCGTGTAAAATGTTTTGTTTCTGTTGATGTGAATTTATTTTATATTTTTTTTTTTTTTTGGTTTATTTATTGTATATGTGTCATCCTGTATATATTATCGCATTCTTACTACTTCCCTTTTCTCATTTTATTCATTTATTATATCTTCATTTAACGCCATTACTTTAATCACCAAACTCAATTCATCAGTGTGAGTACCCACTGAAAACATTTTAATCCTTTCTCTTTTTATATATACTGTTCTACTATTTTGTTTTACGTAAAAAGAGATATACTCTATGCATGATGGAATTAAAATTTTCTATTTTTATATATATATATTTTATATCTTTTTTTAAATTTCATACAGATAAAATTTAAAAATAAAAATTAAGAGAAAAAGAAAAGGGAACAAATTAAATGGATATGCAAATTTTTGATAATTCAAAAAAAAAAAACAAAAAAAAAAAATTAATCACGTACCTCCTTATTTGATAAAATAATAAAAAAAGAACTAGAAAATGAAAGGAGAAATAATTTGTTACCATTTTTTATTTCCATCATGCAGAGAATCTCAAAATTTGTCCTAAACGTTATGCACAACGGAAACGATTAGAGTTGTCATCATCATTATCATCATAATCGTCATCGTCATCCTCCTCGTCATATGATAGTCCATCAAGAAATTAGGACGCATCGTTTCCATCGGTGATTACGCTAATTAATATAAATACTTCTCTAATCGTCTCTAAAAATCATCGTTCGTATTCGTAAATTGATGATATTTTAATCAAAACGAACGTGATCTCTCGCAGAGACAGATACATATTTTATTATTTTTATTTTTTTTATTTTTTACTTGTTTTTTTTTTTTCGGGGTTTGAAGCGCATTTGATCTAATAAAACAGATCGAAGGGAAATTTTTATTCTTCATAGAAGGCAGACTCACGTTTTCTTTTATTTTTTTGTATGTTTGTTTTCAAGTGTGGCAGATGGTGTGTAATTGTGAGGACAGGCGGACATTAAAAAGAAGCCTGAATAATATCTGTAAATTTGTATTCAATATGGTTGTAAATATATTTGTGTACTTGTATGATGTATATGTGTGTGTGTGTGTGTGTGTTTTTTTTATTAGCAGTGATTAAAATTGCTAGGAACGTGCCCCTCATTGGACACTTGTGTATTTCTTTTTTTTTTTTTATAATTGTTTTTTTATTACTTTTTCTTATTCTTTTTTTTTTTTTTGTAAATCGTAATCGTTTGCTTGTTCCCTGACATCCACTGAAGTATCACGTATATTGCTCTGTACTGTATGTATTTTATATATTTTTACTCAGACATACGTACAAATTGTTTATAAGTTTTATTATTATGTGTTTTAATTATTCGCGTAATTTCGTGTGTTTGTTGAATAGTGTGTATCTCTCCTGTTGCACATGCATATTTTTCAACGTTAAATTTTTTTCCTTGTTATCTTATTCATTTTTTTTTTTTATTATTATTTATACGACACTGTATATTTCCCTTCATTTCAAATGTTATTTTTACTTTTCCTATCATTCCTTTCGTATCATTCTAACTCATCTTTAATCCAATCGTTGATCATATACATATAYATATATATATACCTTTTTTATTATAATATATATATATATGTATATAATCTTATATATTTTTATATAATTTTATATTTATTTATATATATATACTGTCCATATACCTTTATTTTAGTTTTCGTGTAGAAATAATAACTTTTATTATCTTCTCTTCCATCCTCTCTTTTCTTACCCTTTTTCTTTCTCTCTCACCCTTTTATTCTTTCTTTCTTTTTTTTTATATTGTATTTTTATACTTCTCACAGAAATTCGCCATTCAGTTTGCCATTACGTTTTTGTTTTTTCGTATAACATGTAATTAAATTTGTTCTAATAGTTTAAAATTAATTTTTAGCACTTGAAGATTTATTTTACTCGTTATTAATTAGATTATTATATAAATTATTAATGTACCCCCCTCCCTCCTTCAATAAAAAAAAAGAAAGTAATTTTAAAAAAAAATTATTTTTTGTCAAAATCCCGATAGATTCGAATATTTCGAATTATTTGGAATAAAAAGAAAAAAATGTTTAACCAAACGTTGAAATTTTTGGTTGTTGTGTTGTTTCATTTTTATTTAATTATTTTATAATAATTATTTGGAATCGAAAGAAAAAATATTTACCCAATCGTTGAAATTTTTAGT